GATGGATTCCTCCTCTTTTTTTTTTAATGAATGAAACAGCTGTTGGGTCTAACCGTAGTTGACATCTCTTGTAGCTTTGTCTTGAACGTTGTGTTTCAATGGGGAGGCCAGAACAGTAGCTTTTAAAAGAATCAGCCTCCCAGAGATACCTCAGGCAATTTTTTTTCTCTCCCTCTTGAGAAAAGCATGTCTTCCCCGCCTTTTTTAAAAAAAATAAGTGTGGCTCAGCTGTTTGCCTTGCTATGAATTTATGGATGTTTTTTAACATACCTTTTTTTTTTTTTTTTTTGCAACTGCTCCTTGACAGTCATGAATCATATTATTGTTCTATTTGTACCCTGATTTTTTTTTCCACTTCCGAGTAATTCAGAGCCATTTGCAGATGGCTTCCTGGCAGCTTCCCATTAAGGAAACTTTGGACAGGTGTCCCATTTAGTTTGTGAACCATCCATTAAGGAATGATAGTCATCAGGGAAAGATGGTTGGGTGGGAGGAGCAAAGTTGTGGACAAGAAAGAATTCATCTATTGAAATACTTAGATTTATTAAAATTAGGGCCGCAGCCCAGGTCAAGGCTTTGAATGGATTGATGCCCATAGGTTTTAGGTTGCAATTCTAATCTCTGTGGTTGTGTCTTAGGTCTAAAGAGTGGGTCCTTTTGATCAGAGATCAAGCAGTAAGGCTTACTCTCCAAAGAGGTTGATACATTATGAGGAGTTTCTCCAAGAGGATGACGCAAATCTCCATACCTCCATTTTCAACGTTCTTTGACAGCTACAGAGCTCAACTACAGTTCTTCTCACTCCAGGCAGTAGAGACGACCACAAAGATTTTGGAATTTGTAATTCAAGAGGTATTAGAATTAATGGGAAGAGAAGTCATGAGGAAACCAACGAGGGAATGAGAAGGTTAAATAAATCTCAAGCCTTCCTCTGGTTTATCTGCCCTAGTCCTTCCTCCAGGAAGTGAATGTCTCTGCTCTTTGATGGAGTATGAGTCTTACAGTATTTGCAAAGAGGTAAAAACCTGCATTTGTGAGCCAGTAAAGGTAATTCTTGCCATTTAAAATAAAACACTTTAGTAGACACACACACGCCTAATGTGAAAGAGAAGAGGGAATAACTTCTAAGATGGCAAAAACCATTTGGAATTCTTTATAAATATTTGTGTAAAAACGTTTAATACGGTGTCTAATGAACAGCAGACTTTGTTGTCTTAAATCATTTTTAATATGCACTCCAGAAGTTGAGACGCTTATAGAACAGTTCCCCTTCAATCTATCAGTGGCCATTTTAGCAAGCGGAATACATGGCAAGTCCTTCTTAATTATCCCCCCCTCCCTTCTTGTTGGCCCTGCTGAAAATCTGTGGTTTCGGTGGTACCCTTGGGGAAGTCAGAGGATCACAAGTTGTCTATCAGCTGAGAATTGTCCTGCTCCGGCCTTGTCATTCCTAGTCTCTTTCTTAGTTTCTTTCTTCTTCTAATAGATGATTAGCAAAGTATCTCTGCTTTTGTTGAGCAGTGGTCATAGAGTTTCTGGGGATGCTGACGTCAGCCTGGTGTCTCTAATGGAAAGCAGGGAGCAACCCATATGCTAGCCCTGAACCAAATATATATATATAGTCCTTGACTTACAATCACAATTTCTGCTGCTGAATGAGACCTTGGTTAAGTGAATTTTGTTCTATTTTACGACCTGTCTTGTCACGTTTGTTAAGTGAATCACTGCAGTTGTCGAGTTAGTGACATGGTTGTAAAGTGAATCTGGCTTCCCCATTGTCTTTGCTTGTTGGAAAAGGTGATTGTGTGACGTGGGACACTGCAACCGTCAATAAATATGAACCATTTGCCAAATGACTGAATTTTGATCACATGACCATAGGGATGCCACAGCGGTCATAAGTGTGAAAAATAGTCACAAGTCCCTTTTTTCAGAGCTGTTGTAACTTTGAACAATCACTAAGTGAACTGTTGTAAGTCAAGGACTACCTGTATGCAGCCCGCCCCACTCCCTTGGCTATGAAAGATAATTTAAAGGAATGGAGAGCTTAGGGTCTGAAATATTTAGAAAGATAAGGCACTTTTTAATTCCTTCCTTCTCTTCTTCCTTATACTCTTCTTTTGACAGGAGTAGGAGGAACCAGACCATGTTCCCTTTCACAAGTGACCTTGCCATGAAGCTAGCAACCATTTCTCTCATGGCTGGACACAATTTGAATAGGTCTTCTACTTACCACTGAACTTACTTCCACTTTTTAGAAGGGGATTGAGGTCGAGTCATTGTTACCCATGACTGGACCTTCCTTCCATAATTATCTGAAGCATTATAGTCCCCATGTTTTTCAGTTGTGCCCTGACTTGGGGGTGGGCGTAGAATGTCCTCCTGAAATAAAGTGAGCAGATCAACCCCGCCAAGTTGGTAGTACTTGCAGGTTTCTTTCTCTGTCGTGGCATTTAAAAATATAGAAACAGTTTGGTGCAGTAGTTGAGAAACCAGGGAGTTCTAGTTCTGTGTTAGGCATGAAAGCCAGCTGGGTGACTTTGGGCAAGTCACTCTCTCTCTGCCCAAGTCACCTCACGGGGTTGTTATTGTGGGGAAAATAGAAGTAATATTACCTATGTTTGCCACCTTGAGTTATTTATAAAAATAGTAAAGCCAGGAGAGGATGCCTGGACTGGACTGGACTGGAATAGAGATGGATAGGATAGGATAGGATAGGATAGGATAGGATAGGATAGGATAGGATAGGATAGGATAGGATGAGAGAGAGATGGAGGGAGGGAGAGAGCTACCACTAGTGGCAAAGGAAAATCACATGGATAAATGCTACTATACTGTATGTCAGAGGTCCCCAACCCCCAGGCCATGGCAATCCATGGCTTGTTAGGAACTGGTCCACAAAACTACAGATGAGTGGTGGGCAAGTGAGCAAAAACAGAACCTTCCCCTCCCCTCCCCTTCCGGGTCCATGGAAAAATTGTCTTCCATGAAACCAGGCCCTAATGCCAAAAAGGTTGGGTTGACACCGCTGTATATCATATAGTGAAATGGAAGTATTGGATATAAAGAATTCTTATTTTGAAGCAAGGTTTGACCACTCAACATGTCTTCCTCAATCAAGCCAAATTCATGTCCTTTCTGGCCAGTGTGGCCCATAATTGAAGGACACCGGGTTTTAGAAAGCTGGTTTAGCGGCACTAGTCTGAGCTTGAAAGATGTTAAATTGGCTTCAATTGTTCAAGAGCAATTGACAATCCATCTCCCAAGTGCTTCTATATGCTGCAGAACGTAACAGTCTTTGATATTATCTGTGGTTGTTTGCTCACTTGGAAGAACAAAAATGACACATGTGGATTTCTTTCGGTGGGATCTGAAAGGGCAAATAAAAACATCTCTACACTTGCCTGCTTTCACCATATTGCAGCTGATTGTTCAAAATGATAGAAGGGTGGTTAAAAAAAAAAGAGAAAGAGGTCTCTGTTGATTTTTGTCAAGTATGCTGATCTGTACAAAATGGAGTTCACCACTCTTGTTTCCGGGGACCCCAAAGGAAGACGGTGTGAGACAGCAAGAAAAATGAGGGACTTTCAGGGGCAGCTGTGTTTTACTAACCCAGTCATAATGCCCCTAAAAATCCTTATTGTTCCTTGCAATGTTCAACTATGCTCTGCAGTCAAGAAAGATTTTCAAAGGTGAGTTTCCATGGGGCAACAGTTCGGTTTCCATCCGACGGTGTAAAGATCTTCCATTGCGGTCAAAGAAGAGTTGCAAACTCTTCCAATCTTGAGCAGCATTGAACAGAGGTTGACTTACTTGTGCTTTTTTGTGGTGTTGTTCATGACAGGCCCTTCCTCCCCGCAACACACTTCTGTTGAACAGAGAGATACAATATTTATTAAAGAGTGTCGCAAGTTTTCCCCTGCACTGAATGTAAATATGCACGCATACAGATCATGCTGTTCCCGTTTGTAGTAAGTGGCGCTAGGCAAAGTGCAGAAAAGAAGTAAGGCACAGTAAGCACAAGAAGTGAAGAACCATGCGATAAGGAAAAAGAAGAAGAAAGACATATTGCAACATCAAGTATTATACCAACATTATGGGTATATTGTAGATACAGAGCAGGCCAGATCTCTTAGGTAACTACCATATTGGGCTTGCTCAAACTTTGGCAGCCTTCTTAAGAGTACATTGTGGAGCTCTGAAATTTTTATACCATAGACCCAGAAGTTTGCCAAGTGCCCTGCTGAACAAATGTCTTTTCCTTGCACATGGGGTTTTGAGGCACATATGGTGTTCCCCAGAAGAGGTTAGCCAGTGTCAGAGACAGCCCCACGGAGTTCTTTGACCTGATTCCATCAAGTCCAACATACACACCAGAAGGCCTTTTCTGCCTGAGAGCTACTGTACAACAGTTTATATCTCAGCTGGTTTCATTTTTATGAGCTTGGAGCTGAGGTATGTTTCCCTGAACAAGGTTGTGCAAATATTCTCTGCCAAGACTATTAAGATCGTGCCAAGAAAAGCTGCATTTTTCTCTCTCTCCCTCCCACCCTCCCTCTCTCTCTCGCTTAGGAAAAGACTGAAAAATTTTGCATATGCACTTCTGATTTAAAAGAAAAACAATTATTTTTGCTTGCTAGTCTTAAGGCAGGACAACATGAAGTAGTCAAGTCTTTCCCCTAACCGCTAAGAATCACACCCAGCTTCCTCTCGCATCACTGTCTGCATATTTCCAAACAGCCTTGCTGCAGAAAGTGCTTAAAACCTGATTGCTAAAATTTCAAATACTGTATCCTTTCTTGCATTTTTCTGATGGGCTGCTGCAACTCAGAAGATACTTCTTATGAAGTATTGGGAACATCCTAGATCTATTTCTAAATTCCTTTAGTCTGCAAAGGGATGGTAACATTTGTGTTTGAAGAGGTGAATTTTCCTATCCTAGATTTCTTCTGGCAACTAATCTATTTTATCCTTTTCTTTTTTGCTTTTTTGGTCTGTAGGGCTCTGCTTCCAAGAAGCATTTCTTGAGTGACAACTATACAGAACATTGCAACTTGTGTCCCTGCTGCAAAGTTTCAATTGTGCAATTTTATACTAAATTTCTCAACTGCTTTCAACACTTGGTGCTATTCCCAATCTGGTACAAAGAATGGGGAATTTCTCAGGTAGATTTTTTTCACATTTTTTTCCACTGGTTAAAAAAAAAAGGTTGTAAAGTGGGCACAATTCACTTAACAACCACCTTGCTTATCGATGGAAATTCTCTTCCCATAAGGCAGGGACTAGCTGTATTAGGTGGATGAGGTTGGAAGATTTGACACCTTTCGATTAGCTGGAAATGATCTTCTTTAACCTTGAAGCCTCCTAGATGACATCAACTATAGTCTACCTCATCTCTGACTCGCAATTGGGAATGGTGAGACTTGTAGTCCATTTGGAAGGCACCAACTGGGACAAGGTTGCCTAGACAGATGAATTCACCCTGAAGAGCTTTACAGAAGCTGGTCTCTAACCCAGTATGAATGGGGGTACCTTCAATAACTATCTCCATCTTCATCAACACCTTAAAACAGGTAAGCAGAAAAGCAGCTGTTCAACTGTTGACTAAAGGAAAAGATGCCCCCAAAAGACCATTTGGCCTCCTTATGCCCACCTAGCCAATTGGTTAGGCTATTCCTGTGAAGTTCCAGACCCTGGATCAATTGCCTATTTTAAGGAAGGACATATTGGTACAACTAATTTTTTATTTTATTTTACACGAGGAGCGCAATGGCTCAGGGGTTAAGACGCTGGACTTGCTGGCTGTAAAGTCAGCAGCCCAGGTTTGAGACCCGAGCGCCACACGGAGGAGTGAGCTTCTGTTACTTGCCCCTGCCCTCCTAGCATTTTGAAAGCATACACATGCCAGTAAATAGGTACCACTTCGGTGGGAAGGTAACAGTATTTCGTGAGCCTTGGCATATAGCCATGGTGGTCATGTGACCATTGTCTTTGGACAATGTTGGCTCCCTCTGCTAAGAAATGGAGATGAGCACCCCTCCTTAGAGTTGGACATGACTGGTCCGGCAAAGCCTTTACCTTTCTTGAAGGGTATATGCTTTTCCAAATTATATCAAAGTAATTGCTGCTGGCTATTCTAATGTTCAAAATGCCGTATTGTATACCAAATGCTTTGAAAATAAACGGAACTTACAATAAATGCTTGGGATTCCTAAGTTCACTGTGTTTGCCCTCTATTACTGTTCTCCAGGAAGCTCACTGAAGCCAGTAAGAAATCATTTCATTTTGCCCCTATAAAGCATGCTAATTTCTGAGCAGTGAGAATCAAAGCTAAACCAAGATTTGGATCCAAGCTTCCAGGTGAAATCTAGCAACATATGAGGAATAAAAAGGGGTGGGTGGGTATTTCAGTGTTTCTTCTTTCTTTCTGACTAGATGTGCTGTAAAGGGCGGAATAGAGAAAGGAAAAGATATTTGGATATTAATGACAGTTGCTTATTCTCTGGACAGTATCCAGTCCTCTGAAAAGATTTGGTGAAGATTAAGTAAAATAAAATTGGTTGTTTCCAAGTTGTTCAGTCTTGGATGTTATTTACTAATTGCTTTCTTCTTGGATACATACGAAATATTACGTGTCATGACAAGGAGAGTAATCACACCTAGCCCCAATGATGTCTTCAGGTAATCAATATTTTGGTAAGCCAAGATAAAGGCATTGGTGGGGTTTTGTGTTTCTTTTGAGGGAGAAGTTTTGTGTGTGTGTTGCAATTTTGGTGGGGATCCACTGAGCCGAGTATGACTACAAGGTTTCTAAAAAATGGATGGAAGGGAAGCTGTAACCCTGCTATATTCAGACATACCCCAAGAGATGGAATTGTAATAAATTCATAGTAGAAAGTAACTGATGCAACGTATAATTAAGTTTATATTTTTCAGTAAAAAGGCTTCTTGTACCAATATGTATATAAAGTTTTAGACAGCTGTTTCAATAGAGAATGACAATGTTTCATTGTAATCTGTTTATAATCTAGAACTGTAACCAATGTATTCCTCATTAATAGCATCAGGTTTTCAAGATTCCATATATCTTGTGGAAGGCTGGTTTAGAGGTTTTAAAGAGTGGAGGTACAAATGAGGATAAGATCCTGGTCAATACTTGTAAAGAAAGAAAAGTCTTTCAAGTTAACTTCATTTCCTGATAATGTTCACCCTTGGCGACATAGTTTGCTAGTGGTGCCTTTCGGGACTTATTTAATTTTTAAAAAAAAATTCCAGTCATGTCAGTAACCTTAAATGTCCTGCTTGGTCTCTCATCCTATGACTAACAGGTTAGCTTTTCAAGATCTGCCCTGGCTGGTTGGATCTCAAATTTATAAACAATCTAATTTTAAGTATGACTGACTCTCAATAAGTGTGTGGGCCTCTGATTGATTGAACAATTCCCCCCCCCCCCCAAAAAAAGAAAACCACCTCTGGTTAAACAGATATCTGGTTGAGAACTTCCCGCAGATATTTAGTAGAACCAGACATTTGGAAGCAAGTTGTTGGATCTTACGGGCTTTCCAAATGAGCTCTGTCCCAAGAAAATTACAATCTGAATTTTGACAAGGAAGGAATGAGCAGTGAATTAAAGCAAAATGGAAGCATAAGCAGGGTGGAGGAAAACACCTCAAAAATGTCTATTTGTACCTTTAGTTATTTTTGTCCACCAGAAAATCTCTGGAGTTTCATAGCTGTTAGCCCATGCAGACTCGTATAAGTTTGCGATCCTCAACAGTTGCGAATGCTTCTAGAGCAGAGTCTTCAAGGCAATGTTTCCTTTATTCTCAGCAGCTAAGGGGCCATGTCAAGTTGCAGTCACTCAGTCGTTCTGGAGTGACAGCTAAGCCTAGACAAATAAAATCTGCATCTTCAAATTTGGGGGTGCCCCTCCCAACCGAGCCACGTCATCATCTCTTTAACACGTTGCCTCTTTAAGCAAATGTTCCCACTAGAGTTTTTTTTTCCCCCCACCTATGGTCTGGAAAATGTGTCCTATTGGTACAGAGGTGAGAAGGAAGGGTCAGTCTGTTTTTGTTGGCACAGCCTGTGGATGTGATTAGCTTTATCTGTGTTTAAGTTGTGTTGAACACAGCAGAGGGAGGATTAGCTCACTGTGCATCAGGCTGCAGACCAGAAAGCCATTACTCTCACGTATTTTTAGCATTCCAAACAGGAAAAGGCCTGCCGTGACTATGGATGTTTGGGGATGCTTTCCTTTCTGCCCTTTGCTTTCTCTTTGTCGTATCATATTTATCCTCTCGTTGCAAGGCACCGTAAAGCCAGTGATGACCCTTTGTCTGGAAAAGGAAATGATCGCTTGTTGTTCCTTATGTGGGAATAATTTTCTTCAGCTTCCTTTGGATCATAAATCATGGGTGGCTGTTAAGACGAGGAGGAATGCCAACGGCCTCCCCTCCACAGCTAGACAGCACAGTTCCTCTTGGAAAGCAGCATAATCTCTGGTGTCAATTGCAAGGGGGGGGGATATCTTATTTTTCCCCACACCTGGATGTTTTAAGTGCTTTGGGAGGGGGCGATTGTATTTTGCTGTACCGATTTTTCTCCCAGTGCATTAAATGAGTTCTCTACTGTGTTTTTCTTTACCTGGCCCACTTAATTTAATTGCTTAGTTGAGAGGTCAGAGTTTTCTGACTTTTTTGGGGGGGTGGGGCTGATGGACCCACCTGGAATATTAAGAGTGCATTTTGGACTGTCCCTCAAAATGGCCCTTGTGGAGGGACTGGCCAGGCACCAAACATCTATTCTATTACAAAACATTTTATTGTACATCGCCCAGAGTTCCTCTGGAAGGAGGATGGGAGATTCAAAAATGTGATAGATAATAGATAGATGATAGGAGATAGACAGACAGGAGAGAGAGAGAGAGAGAGAGATGGATGGGTGGTGGAAGGACGGACGGATAGGATAGATTGATTGATCGATAGATGGTTGATAGATGGTTGATAGATAGACAGACAGACAGACAGACAAATGATAGATGCTAGACAAATGATAGGTGACAGACAGACAGACAGTCTATTTACCAGATAGCAAAGTGAGAAAAGCTTTTCCTTCACCACCTCTAGACCAGGGGTCTTCAAACTTGACAGCTTTAAGATTTGTGGACTTCAACTCCCAGAATTCCTCCTCCAGTCATGTTAGCTCAGGAATTCTGGGAGTTGAGATCCACAAATCTTAAACTTGCCAAGTTTGAAAATCCTCGCCCTTAGACTCCTGAGAGGCTCTTTACCATGTTAATGAACCATGGTTTAAATCGGGGTCTCCAAACTTGGCAACTTTAAGATTTGTGGATTTCAACCCTCAGAATTCCCTAGCCACCATGGCTGGCTGAGGAATTCTAGGAGTTGAAGTCTACAAGTCTTAAAGTTGACAAGATTGGTCACCCCTGGTTTAGAGTTTCTAGACAGGTGGGCACATTCTCTAAGCTGTCTCTAGACTGCAGTAGTTTTATAGCATGTAGCACCCCCTTTTTTATCACTCCAACTGTTCAATAGGAGCGAGCACCTGCTGGGTATCAAGACAAGAGTTGATAGGCCTCTGGTATCCACCATCTTACCCTGAGAACATTTTCCTTCAGACTTTTGTGTATCTGCCAGCCTTCTTCTCCAAGATTGAAGGTTATTCTGGATCAGTATCAAGCAAAGGTCTGGAGGCAGATTCTTTACACAAGTAGACACTTCATACTGAATACGAGTTGCCAGTCCTCAACAATACAACCAAGTCTGATCAGAGGCTGGGTTGAGCTACATATTACTGCAGGCCTGAAAGAACCTTATTCACAGGTTAGTCGTTTCAGGTAAGTATTTTTCCTTGCAGTGATTTCACTGGTAGTAGAACAGGAAGTGGCAAAAATGTTGCACGTTCCATACATTTCCAATGCAATGCTTGTGTAAAGCTACCAACTGATTAGAGAGCATTCAGCAGATTAATCATCAACTTGTTGACCGATTGATCAATTAATTCATTGGTTGGGTGTTAATCTGTTATAGCAGAACATCAATAAATTTGCCATTCAGAAACAATCAAGGAGATCTAGGATAGAATTCAATTGAGAGAAATCCATTTCCTGTTAGGTGTTTTCTCTCATTTTCTTTTGCTTTCCTCTTTAAATTTAATAAATATTAATTAAATATTTTATATCCTCTTTGCTATACTGCAAGGAAACTGAACTGAAGCAGCCATTCCCCAAGCAACTTCTGTAATTTTCACATCTGCTGAAAGTTTAAATTAAATGTTAATTGATTTATTAAAGTAAAGCTTTAATTTACTAATTGATGCTTAACTTTTTTTAAAAAAAATGGATTTATTGCTTCATTATTCATTAAAATATTCTTATGATTTTTTTTTTTAACTGGAGGCAGCCATCCTAACTCACGTTCTCAGGGAGTTGCTATAAGGAAAAGTTGGAGGCTCCTGTCCTGTCAATATGTTTCCTCCTATTAATGTAAAAAGCAGCCGCTGCTGTTAATTTGACAATTTATTCACAAGAAATCACTAGACCAGAGCAGAACATTGCCTTTTGGGTGGTAATTTATGTATTTATTAAAAGAGTTTAGATTGTCACCCATCTACCAGAAGGAACTTGGGAAGAGGGGAATAACATAAAATCACAATACAATGCAGCAACCATTTAAAGAAATAAACAATGTTGAGGTCCCCACCAATCACCCCATATCAGCTATATCAACATGCTGACCTCGGTACTGGGGGTGTTGCGGGGGGGGATCCAGGTCTTTATTGCTTTAACAGATGGACAAATGACTAGAATATGTCCAAGGTTTAATATTTCTACTATAATTCATCCCTCTATTAACTAGTGGGATGAATTATAGTAGAAATATTAAACCTTGGATATAACCACACCTCTGAAGTATGTATGTTTAGGATTGGTATGAACGATAGCAAATGGTGGATGTGTGCATGCTTGTGCTTTTGAAATCCCTGTCTTGTGTAGAACTAGTTGAAACCTATCCCCTTGGCGATAAGAAAGTTGCAGCCTGTAATAAATCATAATTTGCAACAGGCGGCTTTTAATATTAAGCAGCACATTGTATAAGCTTGTCTATAAATTGCACACAGCTTTTGCTCATCGTTGTTGATTTAATAGTGCGGGGTGTGTGTCGTAAATGTTTAGAGCATCATGTGAAATGAGGGAGTGTATGAATCTGTGGGCAGATATTTCTAAAGCTGAGTACTGATTTAATCATTTCTGATTTTTTTCTCTTTCTGTTCATGGTGAAAAATAAAAGCAAGCGATCTGAGTGCTGAAATACTTGCATTAGACTCATCCATCACCTGCTCCCAATCTGAAAACCTCCACCCTCACATATTGAGACTATAATTTCCTTAATTTAATTTAACAATTCCTGGACATTCAAGTTCTAAAACCTCTGGAGGGCATCAAGCTACGAGAAATTGGTTTAAGGCAGGGGTCGTAACCCCCAAGCTGCAGGCAGATATTGGTTTGTGGCCTGTTAGGAACCAGACCACACCAAACAGCAGGCGAGCAAGCAAAGCTTCATCTGCGCATGCCGCTTGTGCTCGCGCATGAAGCTCCCCTCACATGAGTGGCAGCTGCTTGCCCTCATGCACACTCGCCTGACACTCACAGGGAACTATATTCCCTCTCCCACCGCCCCCGCTGGGCCATCTAGCCAGAAAGGGTGAGGACCGCTGTCCTAGAGCCTAACTTCACAAACAGGGACTCATATTCAATTTTGCGTGGAACAATGACACTGAAACCCACAAAAGATCTCCATACACTCTCCACCATTGTGCTGTGTTCAA